ACTGCCAAGACCTCCAATTGCAAATGCTTGATATGGAGCCATATCTCCTACAATCGAACCGCCTGTCAAACTGTCAGTCCAAGTGGTAAGTGAGTGGCAATTGGAAATGTCATGTTATATGTTATGACCTAAACTATCCTAAGACAGCAGGCCAAGATCTTAAGACTTCAAGACTAGTCAGGCAATAAAGTACAGTCAGTAGTGCCTGCTCATTTTTAACTATAAGCTCATCCTTCAATCTCATATTTGATGTCGACACTGCTGCTATCCTACTTGTAATTGTAACTTCCAACCTATCTACAAATGCTTCCACAATGAAGGTTTATATAAAAATCCATCAAGCTTTTTCACAGCTTCTCTATATTGAACTTGAGACTTGTATTGATAACCAAATTGCTTAGCACTCTGGAATCCAATTTACCAATAACTCTTTCTCTTATGCTTCTTTCTTTCAAGTAGTGCTGAGATTTTCTCCTTCCAAGACTAAATTGCCTCCATTTGATAGTCTTTTCTTTAACCACCTAGCTTTACAATTTAAGGAATTTTGCAATGGCCAGTGAAAGCCCCAATAAAGACATGCTGACTGGTCAATGCATCTTTTTGAGTAGATCAAATCACCTTGTCAAGAGAAATGCAGGGCCCAATTTGACTCCCTTTGATGCCACAAATTTGAGCTTATTAAATATGATCCACCTGGAAAGAAGCGGGATTCCTTGCTCTATTTGAAATCTAATCTGACAGCAGCAACACAAATATTAAATGTTAAGAAAATTCAGATACAATCTTGAAACTCGAGCATAAGATTTGGACAGATTCAAATTCCAGATAGCAAAGATACATTACACGGAAAAAGCTGTGATCATTTGCCTTTGCGTAATGAGATTCTTGCTTTAAAACCACCATACTGTCGTGGGGACTCCCACTGCATTTCAGGCAATACCGAGACATTATTGAGCATGATTCATAATGCTGAGGATTTTGTGTAAGAAGCCTGAGTTACCTGCAAGTGACAGGTAGCCCATCAAGATCCCTGCTTATGGAGCGACCATCATCGTTTAGAGGCCGAACATGCTGCATAACTTACAATAATTAGTTTCTCAGACGAAAAAACAGTGATGACTGAATAACAGATATCAATGTATCAGGGCACAGATGCTCAAATTAGATTGATTGCGTTTGATCGCAACGGTATAAATCCGACCTTAAATCTGATACTAGTTGTGCTGCTCCAATTGGAATTTGCAGGCTCTGTCAGATCCAGTCCAACCGAGAATTGCGACAGATTCACACCTCCACTCCCTGATTGTGAGAAATTATCGGTAGGCGTACCATGCACCCCAATCTCAGGTGAAACAGAATGCTGGGACAGAATAACCATATCAATCCGATATTCTCTTTAGATGCAACTAGTTTAGAACTCTACATGAGCATCTACCCACCTCCTAACAGAAAAGCACCATTTTTTTAGGTTTATAAAAGGAAATGCATACCAAATTACCTGAATTACAAATGACTGCTGAGAAAGCCATTCGGGTCGCGGCCTCCTATAAGCTATCAATGCATTGGAATCATACAGGCCCTTATCCCACGAAACATCAAGCTTCTCACTCCCACCAAATAGGTTTGGGTGTTTGATGCAAAGACTAAAACCAACAAATAAAGCTAATAAAGATACTATAACGCCAAAAAAGCCGAAAAGAAAAGTTTCAAATACAGATAACGGAGTCCAAGTAGGGAATCAAACAGAAATAATAGCCAGAAACTTTACCTCCCTATTATCAGTGACAGCGGACTCTGAGAACCCCTGCAATGAAACAAAGCGAAAATGAAGCATCATTTGGGAAAAAAAAAGAAAACCCAGCAAGCGAAGTGCTTCTCTCTCTCTCTCTGCGCAAAAGCGAAGTGCTTTCCTCTCGCATATTCAAAAGTTGATCTTGATATTCTCTTCTCTGGAGTCTCGCATTTACTCTTACTCTTCCCACATTTTCTTTTCAACCAAACAAGTAGATATAAAACACCAGAAAAATCAACGAATCATAGCAGAGCAGCCAAAAGAACCTGAACGAGGGAAGCATCAGAGAAGCGCACAGCTTGTGAGAGAAATCGACGTTAACGTCGATCTTGGCTGCGACAATGTGACGACAAAGAGTCAAAGAAACAAGAAACACAACCTTTACTTCCCAGAAAAAAAAGAAAACAAGACAGTGCTCGACGACCCCGGTTCCATCTCTCCCGAGCATTTCGAGCCCACGTGAATTTCGTCCGGAGGGAGACCCAACAAAAAGAAAAGAGAAGACACAAACAAGAACATGGGCAAGAGAGGACCTTTGCCGGCATGGATGCTTTTCTGAGCTCCCATCCAAATTGGGTCGAGCTTCAATTTGCCAAGGCTCCATCAATCGCCATGGAAAGGCTTTATGTACGTCGCTCTGTGAGTACGCTAGAGAGAGAGAGAGAGGAAGAGGAAGGAGAAGAGACTTGTCGGAGTGGGCAAAGGAGTCCTCGGCTCTGAAGTTTGTTATCTGCTTTTTCTTTTGCTTCGTCTGCAGCCGCACGTGAGGCTGGAGGCACCCCGTTTTTATTCTTGCGAAATTTGACACAAATGATTCCTGAATTTTAGCTCGACGTGCGATATATTTCTTAAATTTTAATTTATTCAATATAATCCCTAAAATTTATCATAATAAGTAATATGATCTCTGAATATTTGATACATGTTCATTTTAGTCTTTGCACTTTATAAAAATATTTAATATTATCCCTAAACTTGAATCAATGGAATAGTCATATTAAACATTTTCATTTAGTCCAGTGACTAAATTGAACATAAATAAAAAATTCACGAATCACATTGAATAAATTAAAAGTTTATGAATCACATTGCACACTGGGCGAAAGTGCAATAACTATTTGTACCATTTTCCCTTTATTCTTCAATTTCTTATGGTGTCTAAAAAATTCTAAATTTTAATTTCTTACCTCTATATTTTCATATGAATCTTTAGTATATATAGAAAGTAAAAATGTTTATGAGAGATTTCGACCCTAATTGTTTATGAAATGATTTCATGAAATGGCCCATGTCAATGCTAAGATGCACTGTTACAATATGGTGAGGCAAATTTGACAAAATTGGAGTATGAAGAGTTGACATAATTATTGATTATTCTAGAGAAAATTTCAAATAAGGATTTGAAGTGTTATCATTTTCTCAAATAAAAGCCTAAAGTTGACATTATCTCAAATACGGACCTAAAGTGGTTAAATCGTCTCAAATAAGGGCTTGAAGTGGCCAAATTGTCGCAGATAAGGACTTTTAGGCAGCTGGTGACTATCCCGGCCATCGGAGAAGGGGTATTTTAGTCAAAAAAATTTTAAGTATAATTTTATTATTTTTTGATATTTTTACTTTATTTTCCTTTTTTTTTCCTCTCTTCTCTCCCTTGGCCATCATTGGCAACCTTCACCGGCCTTAGGTGAGGGCTGCCCTTGTGTCGGGTGAGAGCCCGCGTCGAGCAAGGTAGCGAGGGTCACCCTCGCCTAGGCAGGCAAGAGCTGCCATTGCCAGCATCGGATGAAGGTCACCTCGCCTGGGCTGGGTGGGTGAGGGCAGACCTTGCCTAAGTCCAGCAACCTCCATCGACAATGGAAAGTGGGAAAAGAAAAAGAAAAGGAAAAGAAAAAATAGAAAAAGGAAAAAAGTTAAATAAAAATAAAGGACGAAAATGCCTTTTAACCAGAAAGGTCGACCATTTTTTGAGACTAATATGACCACTTCAAGTCATTATTTGAGATAAGGCTAACTTTTCAAATAATGACACTTTAGCTTTTTATTTGAGACAATGTCAATTTCAAGTCTTATTTGAGAGAACGATAGCATTTCATGCCCTTATTTGGAATTTTTTCACTATTCTATGTAAGATTTTTTTCAAGATTGAATTCAAATCTCTCGTCTTGCACCTATTAATATTAAATGAAATCAATTGATTAATCTCTCCTCACAACTTTTCGACCAAAAAAAAAAAAATCTCTTGTCACAATTTATTTACATATCTAACACCCAGCTCACCTCTATTTTCTCCGTGCACTCACCTTAATTTGGGTATGATTAAAAAAAAATACTGACTTTAGCTTGAGTGATCATTTTGATCTGGACCTTTTTATCTCATAAAAATTATTAACTTTCACTTAAATTCCAAACCTAGCTATATTGATTTGAAATTGTTAATTGTCCAACGTAATTCAGCAATAAATCCACTGCTAGCTTTATTTAAATCACTATTTATTATCTTATTTTCTAAGCTACGGCTTGAAGAATAACAGTAAAGTTGTTCATGGTCTCATTCACTTCACTGGCAAGATAAAAAATCTCTAGATTGAATATTTTCGGCTAGGCTCCATTGTTTTGTCGTAATATGAAGTTGTGGACCACCACCCATCGAGAGATGTCATGGACGAGATACGCCAAGCTCACGATCATAACTGTTTTTCTAAAACAAGCCCAAGCCTTTCCTGTGAAACTTCAAAGTCTGCGTCGAATGGACATTAATCAATCGATCTCATTTAATATATCAGTCTCTAGTGATGGATATCAATAAATGGATTTTGTTGGGAAGTATAGTAAAGGAGATTTTAAAACTGTGTCGTGCCAAAGTGCTTGTAACAATTTACAAGATCTCAAGCCTTTGGTTAACGGGGTCAAATTTGAGACTCGAGTAAAATTTAGTAATTTTTATCGAGACAAAACAAAATTCAAGCCAAAATTGTCATAAATTTGCTGTGTTTTTTTTTCTTAGTATTAGCCCCTAAATTTGAGTATGGGCTTTTCTTCATTTCCTAAATTGAGTTAAATATAAAAGTGTTTTGGATCGGATACGTGCCAGTAAATTTTATCGGACGAAAACGAGTCAATTCGGTCGGATCATTTTCGACCCGATCCGACCCACCTGCCCGTTTCATGGTCTACCTAAGAGCAACGATTTCAAATTGCCCACCACAATTACAAAACACAACCCGCAGACGCCGTCGTCGCCTTCCTTCTCCGTCCACGCCCGCCGCCGCAGCAGCAAGCAGCTCTTCCTCCCGCGACTCATTCGATCGCACCCACCGATTCACGTTTGGGCGGCGGCGGCGGTTCCCGAGAAGCTAGGGCTCGTCGTTCGCAGATGGGAAAGAACGAGAAGACGGGGCTGGGTCGGGCTCTGGTGAGGCACCACAACCAGATGATCCAGCAGTCCAAGGAGAAGGGCCGGTCCTACCGGAGCAAGAAGGTCCTCGAGTCGGTCACCGACGTCAGCAACATCGACGCCGTCATCGAGCAGGGCGAGGAGGAGGCGGAGCTCCTCCTCGCCGCCGCCGCCGCCCGCTCCTGCCCCGACCTGCCTATCAGACTGTACGCCCCCCGTCTCTCGGCTTGAGTTAACCTGCCCGGCTTTCGTTCCCTCCGCTTGCCTTGAGCTCTCGCATGAGTGCGAGTGCTTTTTACATCGTTTTGTATTAGGTTGTTTAGGTGTTTATTGTGAACATGGGTTTCCGTCGACGTTTTTCCTGTCTGGTCGGGCTTGCGAGGGATGTGGAGCGACTCGTGTAGTTTGGCTTGGGGCTTGGCCTGCGAAACTGTGTTCTTTTGTTCATCGATGCTGCTCTATTGGGCGTGTTCCGACTCGATTGTCGGGCGGTTGTGCGTTGTGGGACTCGAACATCTGATCGGGGAGCGAGCCTGTGGTCGCCTGACCCGGCAAGTTCTTGCAATCGGATGTGTAATCCACGGTCGAAACAGTATTTCATATGCTGGTTTTTGTCTTGAGGATGTATTGTAGTTCTTCTTGGTGGTCGACTGTATGCAGGATCGAGCCTTATGTGGTAGTCAGAATTTTCGTTTTATGTATATATCTTAGGAATCGCAATTACAAGTTACTCGAGGAAAATACCCTGTCTGGTGAATAGAAGCATCAAAATATTGATGTAACTGCATGTCAAAAGTAATTGTCAATCTACTTAACCTGCTGAATTCGTTTTGATTTCTGGGTATTACTGTTACTGTGAACTTCCAATTCTCTTTGAGAGTGAGATCACATCCGACTATGATCTTAGGCGAATTTGTTCATGTCCTTCCTCTTGCTTGCCACAAGATATGCGTAACTTTGAGGCAATTGTTTATGCTCTTGGGTAGTTATTGATGAATCACGTGTTCTGTTGATGCTAACACTTTGCGAGTTCTGTTTGATAGGGACTCTGGTTCTAGCACCATTGGTATGACTCCTGAAAAGAGGAGAGAAGAACAGAGGAAAGAGGAAGCTCTACATACTAGTAGCCTCCGCATTCCACGAAGGTGTGTATTTTCTGTTACATCAATATTATAGTAGGACTTTGTGTTAGATGATTAATACAGAATGTCTTTTTCTCTTATAGGCCACCATGGAGCGCTTCAATGTCTGTAGAAGAGCTTGATACCAATGAAAGACAAGCTTTCTTAGTTTGGCGTAGAAGCCTTGCGAGGTAAGTTTTCGTCTTGTTGTCTGTTTGTGTCTCTTGGAGCGTAGGGTGATTACTTCTTTGTATGTTGTAGAAAATTTTTGCATTGAAGTGATAGCATCATTTTCTCTAAATGCCTTTAAAGAAAATGAAAAAGCGGTCCTCCTTTGGGATGACGGTAGCATGAGGAACAACTTCAGGTTCAAGGGGAAATAAACTTATGAGTCGGTTTTGAAATGAATATGCTAGTCTCCTACCTTATGTCTGAAAATGATGAATATAAGTTGGATCGGTGCCTCGAATGGAACTGAAAATTCAAATCTCGAATTTCTTTTACAACGCATTTGGTAGAACGGGGTGTGATTTTTTCTTTCCCAAGTTGTGTTGTAAGTTTGGTTTAGTTTTAAGCATCCTGCCTTGTGGGAGAAGGCTTAGTGTTGGTTGCAGTTGTCAGACATGTCTCCAGCAGACTCTGGTCATAGGTTTTCTGCAAATATTGTTTTTAAATATTTGTAGAGCAGGGAGCGTCGAACCAACCATGTCTTAGATTCAGTGAACCAAATCTTTGGGTTGCTTTTGAAGTTACTTAACTCTTGCATATATCCTGGTATGACTAATATTACCTGCTTAAGTTCATTATCCAAGGGAGGGGATGGTTATGATGATTATCGTCTGCATTTGAAGATGGGGGTTGTTTTCATCCAACTCATTTATGCATGCATATTCGTTTTCTTGGATTCAACCCTCTTTGTTCTTCCTCAGTTATGATTAATGGCTGGGTATGCATGCTAAATGATGTTTGTTTGAACTGAATCTGTTTCAGGCTTGAGGAGAATGAAATGCTTGTTCTTACTCCATTTGAGAAGAACCTTGATATCTGGAGACAACTTTGGCGTGTGGTTGAACGCAGTGATTTGGTGAGCTTGTCTTTTGATAATGTGAAATGGGCATTTTCACTTTTTTTCTTTTCGCATCTGTCTTTGTTGTAGAAGGTGAAAGGATTGTATGACTCTTTTAGTTAGAGTTGTAGGTGCTTGATGAGGATTATATGACTTCGTCTGGGGCATACTCTGACTAGAACTTGGAAGCATGTACACTTTGTACGATTATGATCCAACGTAATGAAGTTTAATGACCTCTAGCTCTTTTTCTTCCCCTATCCCCATGTAAGAATGGAGTCTAGATAATTGCTGCTTGTGAACCTAAGAAATAACAAAGATAGATTAAAATCTTGTCTTCTTTCCTACATATCTAAAGATCATGCCACTCTACCAGAAGATCTCCCGTCCAAATAGCTTTTTGCTCATATGAAGTTTTTCTTTTTTCCGAGATGAGAATATTTTAGGTAACGCATAATATCAGTTTAATCAAGAAATGGTGGCTTATCTTGACATCTTTCCGGAATCTTATTTAGCCTGCACGACTACATTAGTGAATGATTTAGTGTTGTTTGGTGGAGCAAGTGCTGTTGAACTGGAGGCAATAATAATCGTATTCTCAAGTCTCTATGTTCTCTATCAAGTTGTAGTTTTCTGGTGACGGTTATGTTTGGATCAAGACTACTAATTCCATACTTTTGTGGAGTGTGCCTTTGCTTTGGTGCATCTCTTTCCCTTCCTCTCCATTCATTTAAATGGATGGTTCATCATGAGTTGCCACTGTAGTGCTGATACCTGTGAACGATGCTAATATTGATTTTCCATTCAGCTTGTAATGGTTGTAGATGCTCGAGATCCACTGTTCTACCGATGTGCCGATCTTGAGGTGGGTATTGCTTTCATTCTTATACTCAGAGCTCTCTGTTGCTTTTATTCCCAAGTCTCATGTGCTTATGATTATTTTAGCAAGCTATAAAAGGTTTTTTTTTAATTATAAAAATTGCTTATTAGAAGTGCTTATTTTAGTCTAAGAGGGAATCCTTCATATTTGTGTAGTGTATGGTTGATGGGCTATACTTATGTGTTGCTGCTGGTTGCAAACGATTTTCTTCTTTGTATTGAGAGAACATGCTGGAAAACTATGCTTTCCCGTGAAATGGTGGAGCAGTCAGTGCTACTGCTTAGCATAACATGGGTTTTGCTCTTATTTAGGCCTATGCTCAAGAAACTGACAAGTACAAAAGGACATTGCTTCTTGTCAACAAGGCAGATCTCTTGCCATTTTCCGTGAGGTACACACCATGTCACCTATTTGATGCAGCCGGAAAATATTTCCTGTGTTCAGCTTCTGTAAAGTTTTCATTGCCTGTTTATCTCTGCAGGGAGAAGTGGGCAAAGTTTTTCCACCTTCATGAGATTTTGTTTGTATTCTGGTCTGCCAAAGCTGCTTCTGCAACACTGGAAGGGAAAAAGCTAGCTGCCCCCTGGAGAACGCAAAATAATAATCAGGAAGAGATGGATGACCCTAGTACAAAAATATACGGTAGGGAAGAGCTTTTGGTTCGTTTACAGTTTGAGGCTGAAGAGATTGCCAAGTTGCGAAGGGAATCAGGGTCTAGCAGTACAGGTCCCTCGAATGGTCACTCAGCTGGTGGAGACAACCTATCTAAACCTGTTGTTGTTGGTTTCGTTGGATATCCTAATGTGGGGAAGAGTTCAACAATTAATGCTTTGGTTGGTCAGAAGCGGACAGGTGTCACCTCTACTCCTGGGAAGACCAAGCATTTCCAGACTTTGATAATATCTGATGAGCTCACTCTATGTGATTGCCCTGGATTAGTATTCCCGTCTTTTTCTAGCTCAAGACAAGAGATGATTGCCTGTGGGGTCTTGCCCATTGATCGGATGACCGAACATAGAGAGGCAGTGCAAGTAGTGGCCAATCGAGTCCCAAGACATGTCATTGAGAATGTATATAAAATAAGTCTGCCAAAACCTAAGCCGTATGAACCACAGGACCGGCCTCCCCTGGCTTCCGAATTTCTGAGAGCTTACTGTGCCTCTCGAGGTTATGTTGCCTCTAGTGGTTTGCCTGATGAAACCCGAGCTGCACGCCAAATCTTGAAAGATTACATTGATGGGAAGCTACCTCACTACGAAATGCCCCCTGGGATGGGCGACGAAGGGTGTTATGATGGAGATGCTGCGGAACCCAGTTTGAGTGAAGTGGCTGAATCAGAATCATCCGACAACGAAAATCCATCAGATAATGAGGATGAAAGCGAAATTGGCCCTGTACTTGATCATGTACTTGATGATTTGAGTTCATTTGACGTGGCTAATGGGCTATCTTCCATGAAGGTAACCGTGAAAAAGCCAAATGCGTCTCACAAGCACCATAGAAAGCCCCAAAGGAAGAAAGACCGTTCTTGGAGAGTTGGGAACGACAACGGAGATGGAATGCCTGTCGTAAGAGTATTTCAAAACCCAGCGAATGGAGGTCCTGTAGTGGCTGGATAGAGGCCTTGTTGGAATTCCGGATCAACTCCACGTCTTTAAGGACACCGTGTGCTGCTATTTATCTTCGCAACATCGGGCAGCCCCGCACATTACATTGGCATGCGCTGTTTTCGTCAGCTGCTAGGTTGTCAGCCGGAGGGTACGGTGATAAGAGAGAGTAGGATTTCGTCAGCTGCTCTAGTCTTATGGCATTAGGCATGGCGGGCTGTATCTGTTTGTTTGGAGGAATGCAGGCAAGGCATCCTTCAAACATGGGAGTCCTTATAATGTAACTTGTCATCTTTATTTTGTAGTGCGTGTACCTCTGGTTTGGTGAATTATTTTTACATAGCTTTCAGTTTTGTGGAAATGGCACTCCGCTGGAAATTTTTCTGTCCATCCTGCGTGGTATGGCCGAGTCCGACTGCCGGCCCGGATGCATATCACCAACGAACTTTCGAATCGTGAGTTTTGAAATCCCGTTTTCTGGCAATATCTGGAATCGCCTCGGTTGTTCTCCGGTCGAGCTCGAGTTCGAGCTGCTCAAGAAGCGCGCGAGCGGCATTGCGAAGTTTCTATAGCGACCGCATGAAAGGGTTGAAAGAGCGAATTGGGATGTGACGATCGCGATCCCAAAAACACGACTCAGACAAACCGAAAGCATCAACGTTTCCTCTGCCTGAGGAGAAAACTGGAAACACCGTCAAGAGTCGTTAATGTTACGGTTGGACCCGGAGCTCGATTAGGCATGCTTCCGCCGTCAAACCCCGAATGGGGCTCCTCGGAATCGTCGCAAGGAACTAACGGCAACTCGACAGGGGGTCAAAATTGCGGCGGTAAAACTCCCCCGTTGAAGAATTCCTTCCCTCCCTCCACCCAATAGAGAGATAGAGAGCAATGTTCATAAAAGGGGAGCTATTTTTTTAAAATTATTTTTACATATAATAATTCAAGGGAAATGATAAATAAAAAAAAAAAGAGAAGAAAGGAGGGAGGAGCGAATGCGAGGGACCGAAAGTGACTCTGCTTTTAATGGAGGAGGAGGAGGGGAGGGGAGAGCATTATGATACACCACTTTCTTGCATGCACTGCCACGACAGTACGATCCACGAAGTATACACCACCCCCCTTTCTTTATCATTTTCTTTCTTGCTCCGAGACGCACAGAGAGAGAGGAGAGAGAGAGAGAGAGAGATAGACCCGTCGAAGCGTTCTTGGTCCTGTGTTGGCTCCTTTGTTTGTTTGCTCTTCTTGCCGTCCCCCATCGCCAACTTTTGTATTCCCTCGACCGGCTTTGAGTTTCTCTAGACACGCCCGGAGAGAGAGAGAGAAGAGAGAGGGAGAGGGTGGGAGAAGGTGGGTGGTGGGGGGGGAGAGAATAGAAATAAAGAAGCGACTTTGACGAATACCCATCGGCGCATCGAACTTCCCCTGCGGAAATTTCCAAGTTTCGTCTCGGATTCTGATCCCGTTTCGTCGTTCGCCCCGTTTCTTGAGGTCCTCCGTGTTCCGATGGAAGTCTTGAGGGTCCGAATTCTTCCAACCCAATCGGAATGTTGATCGGAAATGCGGGTTTCTAGGGTTCTTGCCGTTCAGTTTCAGGGTCCAAGATTGGTGATTGATTGGGATTGACCGATGCAAGGCGACTCTCCGATGTCCCCCGGGGCTGGTCAGGATCCCCCGGCTGAGAATCCCGGCCGGGATTGGCCTCCGCCGGCGGGGGCGCCGGCGGCGGCGGCGGATGGAGAGCAGTTGGAGGAGCAGTGGCGTGCCGGGGGTGGGTCTCCGGGGACGCCGCGGCTCCAGCTGCTGCCGGGGCCGCAGCTGGCGGGCCCGAGGCACGCGCCGAAGTATTCGGCGGTGGACACGGTAATAGAGGAAGAGGAAGACGGGCCGGGGCCGAGGTGCGGGCATACATTGACTGCGGTTGCCTCAGTAGGAGAGGAGGGCTCGCTGGGTTACGTAGGACCGAGGCTGATAATGTTCGGGGGCGCCACTTCGCTTGAGGGTAATCCTGCAGCTTCGGGGCCTCCATCATCTCCTGGAGGTGGAGGTGCTGGAATCAGTACGTGATCTTCCTTCCATTGATTTAACTATTGGCTACTATGTTAATTTATTTAGTTCATGACGTGTGATGCCGGGACGGGCATGCATGGGTTTGTATTTGGTGTCTAATTGATGTTTAACCAATTGAACCGACTGTGATGAAAATTATGGTAGATAATTAGTTGAAATACCTAGCAATATCTTTACTACTTGTGACATGCTGCAATCGAGGCGCAGCTTGCTTGTTCTGTTGCTTGATTAGAAATGATACACCAGAAATAAGGAGTTACAGAATTGCTCGATGTAAGTAAATTTGAATGGCATTTTAGTACCAAGTTAAGTGGAAAATTTAGGTGGGTCAAAAAAGGAAGTGGATATTTTTAGGATCATGAATGAGAATTTTTCTAAGAGTTGCCTATTGTTGAGTAATTGCGCATGTTTTTGCTTCCCTTCCTGGTCAACTAATTGAACTTTCTATTCGTGAGTGTCGTGTTAAATTTTATTATGGAAATGTGAGTGCAAACTGTATGATTCTTTAGGTGTTTGGCCATGCATCTAGCTTAAGCACCACGTGTTCGTGGGGGTGGAGATGTTGATTTGACAGCTGTTATACGTGTTTGAGTTGCTACTTGGAAGGATTTTTTCGACAATTCAATAGGATGACATTCCTCACGGTGCCAAATCCTTTTGATTTGTTTGCAGGACTAGCAGGTGCCGCTGCTGATGTTCACTGTTATGATATCTTGACAAATAAATGGTCCAAGTGAGTCTATAATCCTGATGATGTTATTGTTCTCTCTACTTGGAGTTGAATTTATGTTGAAGAAGAAGATATGAACCCGTTTTTGCAGGATCACTCCTCTCGGAGAAGCACCAACACCAAGGGCAGCTCATGTTGCCACTGCGGTGGGTACAATGGTAGTTATTCAGGTTTGTGCACAACACTGACTAGAGTTGTAACTATGTGCTCTGCTCGTTTTCATTATTTCCACATTGTTTTTCCATCCATGCAGCCAGTTTAATGTTACATCTTTGATTTAACAGGGAGGCATTGGTCCAGATGGCCTGTCAGCCGAGGATCTCCATGTTCTTGACCTCACTCATCACCGACCGCGATGGCAAAGGTAAGACTTGAGGACTTGCAATACAATGTTAATGATGTGAACCGTGTTGTTGTCTGAACTGGCTTCTTTTTCTTGTAAGAGTTGCTACTCAAGGCCCCGGTCCTGGTCCACGTTATGGTCATGTAATGGCTCTGGTGGGCCAAAGGTATCTCATGGCAATTGGTGGAACTGATGGTAAGCTTGATGGGCTAGGATTTCTGTATCTTATTCTGATTTTAATGAGTATATATTTGATGAATGCTGAGTTTTTGGCACATGTAATTATGCAAGTAAGACACCATGGCTTCATCTTCCAGGGAAACGAATTTTGGCTGATGTATGGGCACTGGACACAGCTGCCAAACCCTACGAATGGCGTAAGTTGGAGCCAGAAGGGGAGGGTCCACCTCCATGCACGTACTCTCTCTCTCTCTCTCTCTTTCACATATGTCAGTGATCTTTGACTGAGCTAAATGGTGCACTCTCGATTTTGAGTTCTTACATATTTGTTCCTCAGTGAGAAATAGTGTCATGATTGCCCCCACTCTTGCTAGCAAGAGGGGAAAAAGGACAATGTCAACAGGGGTAAGCCTCTGGAATGCAAGATCAAGACAGATCATAGATAGATCACGGCAACCCTAGAAATTCTGTTCTCTAACTGCAAAACTTGAAGTAGTAAACCCTCAAGTTGGAAGGAAAAAAGAAGAATCTTGGAATCCTGCAAGCTCCTGAATGGTGTCTCATGACACAATCCAAAGCTAAAGTCTGGCTCTAAGTTTGAGTTCAGGGGGTTCTTTACTTTTTCTTCTTTTAAATATCTTCCATGCTCATAATTTGAGTAGCCGAGCGGGAGATCTCTTAAGTGAAGCCTAAAGATGCCTTGTCCAAGTGGTGTCTGACAAGGATCTCCTCTGCTGCCATAGTAGGATATCCAAGGGAGGGGGGAAGGTCTGAATGCACCCTCTTAATGACAAGCGGTCCCTTCCTCCTTGGAAACCACTTGGTCAATGCTTAGAAAACAAAAGGAGAAAGAAGATAGAATAACAAGAGATGTCCACCTTTCAGTCATCTTGTAGAGGAAAATGAACAATAAACTGAGATTCTGACTCCAACCTTGAGAACGATGAATAGAATTAAGCTCATGAGCTTTCATGTGCATGACTATTAATGGGAAGATTGCTTCTTGTGCAATCCTTTGGTACTTACTTTGCACAATAAACTGAGATTCCGACTCCAACCTTGAGTAAGATGAATAGAATTAAGCTCATGAGCTTTCATGTGCATGACTATTAATGGGAAGATTGCATCTTGTGCAATCCTTTTCTACTTACTTTGCACAATCTTCTTCTCCTTGTTTCTATCATAAAGATTTAACCTGTATCTTTCATATATGGTACTACATGGCCTGGACTTTATGATTTGAAGTGGATCCCATATTTCTTTCCATCACTGTGACAAATGATTGTTTTCATCAAGTTCTGTGAATATTTTCATTTGGACGTGGACTATTTTTTGTTTTGTTCTCTATGACATGTTCTATTTCATCATCTGATAATTCATGAAAATTGGTGAAATTTTTATCCTTATTTTAGTTTCATTGTCCCAAAGGTATGCAACAGCAAGTGCACGCTCTGATGGTCTTCTTCTACTTTGTGGAGGGCGGGATACCAGTGGTGTTGTGAGTTCAATTCCTTGCTCATTTTCTAGCTTTTGCATGTTTCTTAACATAAGTTTCGAAAAACTGGCCTATCGGGGAGTTAGTCACTAAAATTTGCTCCTTCATGCATCCTTTATGATGATGACTCTCTCTGCCTAAATTGTTGTCATCTCTTGTGGTCATGGTCTTCTCTGGGGACAATGATGCTACTTCATTCTATTAGTGGGCCAAATTCATATAAAAATCTATAAAGCTGCGAGCAGAATGAAATCTTTGGAGATGATGGGAGCGGATTTTCATCTATTAATACTAGTACTGTTGGAGTTATGATGGGTATTTTATCCCCATAATTTTCTCCTAAGTTATACAACTTTAGATGGCAAATCAAGGAGCTGCATTCATTGTCGTGGATGCATGCATGTTGTGTGAATGTGAGCAATTCGGGACATCCTGATAATTCTCTCTCCAAGTAAATTCCAAGATTGACTTATATATGATGTTGACAACTGTTGATGTGAATTTAATTTGAAAAACCTTAACAAATGGATTCTTTTTAATGATTTT